GTAGCTCTAAGTAGCGCTGGGCCATGACGAGAGAGAGTTTAGACTGAATGGGGGAGAACGCCGTAAGCGTGTGACAGATTTGCTGATTGGGTGTGGAAGTGGGAGTTGGACAGGGAAGGGGCTACTGTAGCCATGCCTGAGCCATATTATTTTTACTGTACAAGAGCGACGGGGCGAACTAATCTCAGGATTAATAGACCGATGAGCCACAGGGGGACCAGGACGTTACCAGGGTCAAGAGCCAAGAAACTTCGACGTGTCCGAAGCTGCAATGGGACAGTCTGAAGACGTGGCGGGACGGGAACTGGCAGCAGACGTCGACCGCAAGTCAGCGTCCAACGGACTATCGGTGACAGGACTGGGGATCGGTCCCGCCAAGTCATAAGGAATTCTTTAAAAAAAAACATTACATGTGTTTCCAATGCCTATCCCCTAAAACTCGTACACCAAACATAACTACTAAACCTCAAAGAGTAATAACCAACGCATTGTGGGATGGGAATGCAACACATAATCTGTGTGACAACGTGGGGAATACCAGTGGCATTCATGGAACAGTGGGCTAGGTCCTGTACAACCATTGAGCCCACGCACTATTTATGCACATCGCCACAACGAGATGACTCTGGTTTTCCCAGTCCTCCGACAGTGTTAACATGCCACATTCCTATGAAGGTTTTGACGTATTTTGGGAAGGTTCCAACCCATTAATAATTGGTGATTCAAGATCCTAAGATCAAGAAAACCGAGTTGTGCCAACGATAAGTTTATAGCATTGTGATTCAGTTTGTGCATGTATGACTTGTTGTTAGAAACTTAGTCACTAACCGCTGAGTTAAAAGGGCTTGTTAAGTAGCTGGTCCGGACACTTGTGTGGATCCGATCCCATTGCATGATACCCTCCAGAGTTCAACCATTTCCAAGAAACGAATGGACAGGCGACGAATTCTAAATCTGTGCATGCGTATTGAAGTGGAAAGACCACTCCGCCAGGTCACGTCTATACTGCCTCCTCCACATTCTCGGGCTTCCAACAAGGTCACAGGACTGCAGGCACTGGAACCTTTCCTCCACCAGAGTATGCATCACCCGCATAACGAACACTCCACAATCATTCTCGTTCTGCTGCAACGGCACCTGCAGTGACGGGTAAAAGACAGCCAGTCAACGCAAATGCAGGTCTGAGAGAGGTGCAGTGTTGGGAGAGTGCAGAGCTGAGAGACATGCACAGCTGAGGTAATTGCATAGCTGAGGTAGATGCATAGATGAGGTAAGTGCATAGGTGACGTAAATGCATAGCCGAGGTAAGTGCATAGCTGTGGTAAGTGCATAGCTGTGGTAAGTGCATAGCTGTGGTAAGTGCATAGATGTGGTAAATGCACAGCTGAGGTAATTGCATCGCTGAGGTGAGTTCATAGCTGAGGTAAGTGAATAGCTGTGGTAGATGCATAGATGAGGTAAGTGCATAGCTGTGGTAAGTGCATAGCTGTGGTAAGTGCATAGATGTGGTAAATGCATAGCTGAGGTAATTGCATAGCTGAGGTAGATGCATAGATGAGGTAAGTGCATAGGTGACGTAAATGCATAGCCGAGGTAAGTGCATAGCTGTGGTAAGTGCATAGCTGTGGTAAGTGCATAGCTGTGGTAAGTGCATAGCTGTGGTAAGTGCATAGATGTGGTAAATGCACAGCTCAGGTAATTGCATAGCTGAGGTAAGTCAATAGCTGTGGTAGATGCATAGATGAGGTAAGTGCATAGATGTGGTAAGTGCATAGCTGTGGTAAGTGCATAGCTGTGGTAAGTGCATAGATGTGGTAAATGCACAGCTGAGGTAATTGCATAGCTGAGGTAAGTCAATAGCTGTGGTAGATGCATAGATGAGGTAAGTGCATAGATGTGGTAAGTGCATAGCTGTGGTAAGTGCATAGATGTGGTAAGTGCATAGCTGTGGTAAGTGCATAGCTGTGGTAAGTGCATAGATGTGGTAAATGCACAGCTGAGGTAATTGCATAGCTGAGGTAAGTCAATAGCTGTGGTAGATGCATAGATGAGGTAAGTGCATAGATGTGGTAAGTGCATAGCTGTGGTAAGTGCATAGATGTGGTAAATGCACAGCTGAGGTAATTGCATAGCTGAGGTGAGTGCATAGCTGAGGTAGATGCATAGATGAGGTAAGTGCATAGGTGACGTAAATGCATAGCCGAGGTAAGTGCATGGCCGTGGTAAGTGCATAGATGTGATAAGTGCATAGCTGTGGTAAGTGCATAGATGTGGTAAATGCACAGCTGAGGTAATTGCATAGCTGAGGTGAGTGCATAGCTGAGGTAGATGCATAGATGAGGTAAGTGCATAGGTGACGTAAATGCATAGCCGAGGTAAGTGCATGGCTGTGGTAAGTGCATAGATGTGGTAAGTGCATAGCTGTGGTAAGTGCATAGATGTGGTAAATGCACAGCTGAGGTAATTGCATAGCTGAGGTGAGTGCATAGCTGAGGTAGATGCATAGATGAGGTAAGTGCATAGGTGACGTAAATGCATAGCCGAGGTAAGTGCATGGCTGTGGTAAGTGCATAGATGTGGTAAGTGCATAGAGGTGCAGTGTTGGGGAGAGTGCAGAGCTGAGAGACATGCGGAGCTGAGGTAAAGACAAAGCTCAGTGAAATGCAGAGCCTAGCAAGAAAAGCAGAGTGCCGTATGCATCGCTCGGCGAAATGCAATCTGAAGGACATGCACAGCCGAGGTAAGTGCATAGACGAGGTAAGTGCATAGCTGTGGTAAGTGCATAGCTGTGGTAAGTGCATAGCTGTGGTAAGTGCATAGGTGTGTTAAATGCACAGCTGAGGTAATTGCATAGCTGAGGTGAGTGCATAGCTGAGGTAGATGCATAGATGAGGTAAGTGCATAGGTGACGTAAATGCATAGCCGAGGTAAGTGCATGGCTGTGGTAAGTGCATAGATGTGGTAAGTGCATAGCTGTGGTAAGTGCATAGATGTGGTAAATGCACAGCTGAGGTAATTGCATCGCTGAGGTGAGTTCATAGCTGAGGTAAGTGAATAGCTGTGGTAGATGCATAGATGAGGTAAGTGCATAGCTGTGGTAAGTGCATAGCTGGGTGCTGAGATACGGGATAACCTGGAGACTGAGGGACACATTCGACAATGCGACTGCCAAGGCCAATGCCTAAAAAAGCACCTGTATAGTCCTGCATGGAATGCTTGCCGCCCAGGTGTCTGCATCTGTCTCCAAAATCCATGAGCTTTCGCGAAGAACCTGGCTCCTCAAATAACTGCACAGCGTGATGGTAATTCGTGACTACCATACTGACGTCTGCCCAGGAGAACAAAGAAGCGGACGGCCTGTACACATGACTCACGTTCGCAAGGGCAGGTCAATGTCGGTGTGTAATCCGTAGGAATCCGCATGCCATATCGTGCAACAGTAAGGTACCTTCTCCCCTGGGGATTTGATGTTTTCGATAACCGCCAAGCTCCAATGTCCACTGTGAGTGCGGGTCGCGATAAGTAAGCTAGATGTGGTGTAGGAGTGAAATCAAGGGCAATACCATGAATAGTATGAATCCGTAAGAAACAACAACGCATCTCACTCTTTGTTGATGGGCACGACCACGTGGTTGTAGTCTAGGACGTTCTTTCCGTAGGAGTACGGGTTCGTAGACTTCCCGCATGGTCTATCCGCGAACTGCCAGAAATAGGTTGACGTGTAAAGCCAAGACGTATCGCACCTCCCAAGCTCATACTGCAACATCCTGCCGGCGACATACAAACACACACGTCAGAGTCCAAACAACCCGCCCGTATTCCAGGTCATGTTGCATATTTGGTTCTGAAATACTCACAAACCGAGCCACTCTATCACGACGCCGCTTAACCAATTCGAGCGCCTAAGCGTCTTGTAATGCCTTTCGCCGATTTCCAGCCATCCGCCGCCAAAAGGGAAGGGCATGCTAAGAGGGTGGAACTTGTGCATCGTCATAGGTAGTACTAGGCCTGCTGTATTGTTCTACAAACTGGGTAATCTGTATTTTGCGATGGAATCTAGAAAGCTGGATTCTGTCCAGGTTTCGATAGCATGGGCTTCCTTCAGCATACTAAGCTTGTTGAAGTGGCTGGCTCATGGCAGACTCCTGCCCTATATTTGTTTGGGCACAAGCTGCGTGCTGCGTTCTGGGTCACAGGGGTTTATGTCGTGACAAGTCTGGTACTGTATGCTTACGAAGTGTAGTGTTTCCTGCAGTTTGCTCGCTGTTGAGATTAGTTTCCAACTTGCCCAGCGTGCCCGGAATTTTTTAGGCTTCGTTCGTTGGATCGCTCTAATAGGGCACACTGTTAGTGCGTCGCCTCACTTCGCAATCTGTTATTGCGACACCCAAAGGTGTCGCGGAGTTGCTGGTTACCGGTGGCTAACGTTCGAAGGTGGTTCCAATTGGTGAGGTTTTTTAGGTTTGGCATGTGGGGGACGCGTTGATGTCCGCCAACACTTGCTGGCATAACAGGTACGCGAAGCTGCCGAGCTTCGGTCGCCACGCAATATGACAGAAGCTGTCACAACCAAACCGTTTGCCGAGCCTGTCGCCCAAAAGGTCCAAAACAGTGCAGTGACGCTCAACGGTTCAGATACAACATGCTCAACATCAACGAGTAACATTGGCGCCAAACAGTAAATTGAGTGATTGGAGGGATTCCGCACCGCGAGCACAAGTGTGTATTGCCGTGCTGTAATTGGCGAATACTTTTGTAAGAAACGCGGTGCAGTGTAAAAATGACGTGTGTCGCACTGCGGCCCCACAACATCCCGTTACCACATGCCCGTGCGACTGCGAAGATAAGTTCGCAAATAACAGCGCTGGTGCGAGTGGTGCACCACAGTGGCACAGCCCCCTTCCCCTACCTTTTCGCTGTGTCGCACGTTCACATCGTCCCTCATGTCCGCTCAACCGTGTGAGTTTTGTAAGAAGGCATTTTTCTGCTACCAAACCCTAAGAAGCCACCAGGCAAATGACGACAAGTGTAAGCTGAAGCAGAAACGCAAAGCCGAGGAGGATAAGCGAAACGCAAAGCTCAGGCGAACCGACTGTGATCCGCACAGTTTTCCCGGTTTGCTGGCATCCAGGCTCCCTCGCCCGGATCTTAGGATACCGTTGACTGACGCTGCGTACGGGCTGCATCCACGTCCTGACGTTGTTGTGCCAGTCCCAGAACCTACACGCCCAGAACCTACACGCCCAGAATCCGTTTTGGTGGTTACAGAACCGGAAGAAGAGGTTTTCGACCTTAGAGCCGAGTTATGCATATTGTCCAGGACTCACGGCTTTACCAATGCTGCGATTTCCTCGTTGATACAGATCTTCAGGCATCCTGCTCTGCAGCAAGGTCAATTGGAGGGATGGAACAGTTACAGGGACCTCGAGAAATTCGAACAGGACTGCGAGGTGGGAGAGGAGAACGAATGGCATGTGGCGGAGATCGAGATCGATCACGAAGTTGGCTTCCTGACCTTCAAGCACCGAAGCATCGTCAAGGTATGTCGTTCTTGCCCACCGCTGACCTCCGCCCTAATGCTCGGCTGCACTGACGCCATTTGCTCCTCATGGCCGCAGGTTCTGCTGGCCATGTTCAAGACGATGTCGGCCGTCAGTGGTTTCGCGATTGAACCCGAGGAGTGGGTGGTCGATGGCGAACGCCGATACAGCACCCCGCAGAACACAGATTGGATGCTCATGGCATGGGTAAGAGCCGCAGCAATCCCTGCAACCTTTGCCTCTACTAAGTGCAAGCTCGATGCTCATTGTTGTGTACCTATGTTGTGACACCCCCATTGGCAGGAGCGTGTGAAGAAGCTGGGCATAGTACTGGCGATCATTCTGTTCTCCGATCAAACCAACTTGTCGTACAACGGTCGCCAGTCAGCACATCCCTTTGTGATGTCCATGGGGAACATCCCGGAGTGGGCAAGGTGGCTCGAGGGTGGCACGGAGCTGGTTGGCCTCCTGCCGAACATCCCTCCAGATCTGAAGCCGGAAGAGAAGACACGCGCCTTCCAGCAAGCTGCAGACATTTTCATCGAGCCGTTGAGGCGGCTCTCAAAACTGAAAGGGTGAGTCGTTTGTTTGCTATGATCCGATCAAGCCAATCCCCCGAAACTTCTCACCTTCCCATCTTCGCATCTCACAAATGCATGTCACCCAAACCCTGCAATCATGCCTTTCCTTGCAGTGCCACCTTTTTCTGCATCCCATCCGCTCCCGTCCGTGTCCCCATGGTCGTTCCATCTGCTGCAGGGGCGGGTTGCGCTTGCAGAGCAGGGCAGTAGTCAAAGGGGCCCAGGGGGGCGGCGGGCTGTCAGGTGACCCAAATCCGTCAGGTGACGGATTCTGGCCGCCAAGCGAGACATGTGCCTTGAGATTTGGACCGACTGACAAATGCTCGGAGGGTTGGGAGGGCTGCTCCGAAGCGTCAGCTGCATGTGCGTCACCTCCCACAATGCTAGCAGCTACAGCCGGCAGCAACCCATGGCTGAGAGACAAGGACCGACACATTCCCCTCCTGCTCCTCCCCCCTGCTGACGTCACCATGCCACGTGGCAGGGTTCCTGTTCTTGCATGATCCTGGCTTCCAATGCTGTTGTGCCGCGCGCCCGACTCAGCGGCACCCAAGCTGTTGTATCGCACAGCCAACTCGTTACTGTCACCCTCCCGCATTGTTGTCACAACGCCGCTGCTGCTCCACCCCTTGAGGCGCCTCCCCGCCCCCAACAGATGCTTCCAGGAAGCACCCAACTTGGGGGGGCTGCTCTGAGCCAAAGTCGTTCGCTGCTGCCTTGACACCGGCCCTTGCCCCTGCGGCAACGGGTCTGCCGCAGGCCCTCCCCCTGCCTGGCCAACGCCGATCTCAGAGCTCGGAGTGATTTCATCGCTCGTCTGTGAAAGCAAATCGCCCCGTCTTGCGGACGTGTTCCGTTTGACTTTGTATAATGTCTTCCATCATGCTGTGTCAATGCCTTTGGCTGCAGGGGAGGCTTGGAGGTGGAAGACAGCGCTGGGGTGTGCTATCGAGCTTTCCCGCTTCTCTACGCGTACGTTACAGATCACCCTGAGTCTTGCAAAGTCACGTGCACAATGGCATGCAACTCCTTCCGGCCATGCTCCATATGCCTTGCTGAAAGCCGAGGCTTGCGGAGGTGGAAGACCCGATTGTTTTGCGAACAGTGCGTGATCAAGGGCGCTTGTACAAGCAGATGGAGTCCGCCACCACCAAGAAGAAGCTGTCCGCATTGAGGACCACCTACTCGACGCACTTTGTCAAGGTACTACTGTTCCCTCCAGCCATAGCGGAATGCATACTTGTGAGCAACACATGGGCTGCTGTGGAGTAGGTTGGAGGGATTGACCCCTTTTTGCACGCGCTTATACCTCCTCCCCCCCCGCATCTCTACTTGCATGTTGTTTATGGCCTGCTTTTGGCATGCTCTCTCCCCATTCCCCAAACGTCTCCTTCCCTGCGCCCCAATATTTCAGAGTCTTCTGTGGGACTGGGAGTTCGCAAAAACGATTTGGGGGAACACGTATCTCGCCGTCACACCTGACATCATGCATATTATTGAGCAGGGTTTTTGGCTGCATGCAATGAAGTGTCTTGTGAAGAAGCTCACCCCGTCTGAACGGAAGATCCTTTTAGAGTAAGTGGGTCTCTCTGTCCATATCTCCCCTGCCACTTGGCTTGCCCGCCCAAAACCCCCCTCCTCCCGTCCACCCTACGGCCCAAACTTCCCCCCCATTCATCCGGCCAGTCCTCTGTTCCCTCCCCACAACCCTCCCTTCGCTGTGCATTCACTTTCACCATATATTCCGTGACGACGTCTTCTAAACTTGGAGGTCAGCCACTGTGCACCAGATTTACCGAAGCATGTCGGCCCCTGCTGTCCCTTTCCATCCCGTCCTACGTGTCAGGCGATACAAGTTGCTCAAGGCAATCACACCGGCGTCCCTTTTGCGCCTGCCCCAAGCCTGGGTGTACTTCACAACCACAGCGAATTTTTCAGCATCTGAGCACCGTGCCATGATGCAGGTGCCACTCATCATCGCCCGAAAGGGTTCACATTCGTCGCGCCATCGTCCGCATCGCGGACTGGTACAAGGAGTTCATCCGTGCAGAGTATCACACTGATGCATCCCTCATCCGCATGGAGACAGCGACTGTCGTGTAAGGCCATAAGGTTTTTCAGACCCTTGAATGAAACTCTGCTTTGCATCAAACTCCAGACTAGTCCTGGGATATCTCTGATCTTTTGCTCCTTCCCCTATGCCTCCCCCCCAACACCCCTCCCCCCACATCAGCATGGTAAAGGCGCTCGTGAAGGCCTTCCCTAACCAGAAGTCCAAGTGGCACATTGTGAAGATCCATCTCCTCGTTCACCTGCCTGCCACCATCCGAGCGCGTGGCCTGCCACAGGAGTACTCATCCAACACGTACGAGCACTCTCACAAGACGACTGTCAAGCGCCCCGCCCGTGGAACGAACTGGAAGAACGTCGGGGACCGCATTGTCAAGAAGCATGTGCAGCATGCTGTGGTTCGCCAGCTGTCTTGCGAGGTTGGCGGTGACAAGACTTACGAGACCGCAATGAAGGAGGTGCGGCTACTATTCAAAATCTTGCCTTTTCCTCAGCTCTGCCTTCCCCCAGCTCTGCATTCCTCCCAGGCTCTGCATTCCCCCCAGCTGTGCTTTCCCTCGGCTGCAGATTACTCCCCAGCTCTGCATTCCCCTCAGCTCTGCATTCCCCAAGCTCTGCCATTCCCTCAACCCCTGCATCCCCCCCAGCTATTCCTTTCTCTCAGATCTGCATTTCCGCCAGACCTGCATTCCCCCCATCTCTGCATGTCCCCCACCCATCCCTACATGTCCCTCGGCTCTGGATTGCCCCAGTGATCTGGATTTTTCTCAGCTGTGTATTACCCCCAGCTCCTCATTTCCCTCAGCTCTGCCTTTCCCTGAGCTCTGGATTTCCATCGGTTCTGCATTCCCCCCAGCTCTGCATTCCCCCCAGCTCTGCATTCCCCCCAGCTCTGGATTTCCCTCGGCTATGCATTCCCCCCACCTCTTGATTTCCCTTGGCTCTGCATTTCCCTCGGCTCTGCATTTCCCTCAGCTCTGCCTTTCCCTCGGCTCTGCATTTCCCCCAACCCTGCATTCCCCCCAGCTCTGCCATTTTCTCAGCACTGCATTTTTCTCAGCTATGCATTTCCCTCGGATGTAGATTACTCCCCAGCTCTGCATTCCCCTCACCTCTGCATTTCCCTCACCTCATTTCCCTCAGCACTGCATTCCCCGCAACCCTGCATTCCCCCAGCTCAGCCATTCCCTCAACCCCTGCATCCCCCCCAGCTTTTCCTTTCTCTCAGATCTGCATTTCCGCCAGACCTGCATTCCCCCCATCTCTGCATGTCCCCCACCCATCCCTGCATGTCCCTCGGCTCTGGATTGCCCCAGTGATCTGGATTTCCCTCAGCTGTGTATTACCCCCAGCTCCTCATTTCCCTCAGCTCTGCCTTTCCCCGAGCTCTGGATTTCCATCGGTTCTGCATTCCCCCCAGCTCTGCATTCCCCCCAGCTCTGCATTCCCCTCAGCTCTGGATTTCCCTCGGCTATGCATTCCCCCACCTCTTGATTTCCTTTGGCTCTGCATTTCCCTTGGCTCTGCATTTCCCTCAGCTCTACATTTCCCCAACCCTGCATTCCCCCCAGCTCTGCCTTTCCCTCGGCTCTGCATTTCCCCCAACCCTGCATTCCCCTCACCTCTGCATTTCCCTCACCTCATTTCCCTCAGCACTGCATTCCCCGCAACCCTGCATTCCCCCAGCTCAGCCATTCCCTCAACCCCTGAAACCCCCCAGCTTTTCCTTTCTCTCAGATCTGCATTTCCGCCAGACCTGCATTCCCCCCATCTCTGCATTTCCCCCAACCCTGCATTCCCCCCAGCACTGTCTTTCCCCCACCCCTGCATTTCCCTCACCGCTGGAATTCCATCAGCTCTGCATTCCCCCCGGTTCTGCTTTTCCCTCAGCCCTGCGTTTCCCTCATCTATGCATTTCCCCCAGCTCTGCATAACCCTCTGCTCTGCATTTCCCTCGGCTCTGGAATTCCCTCGGCTCTGGATTTCGCACAACTCTGAACTTCCCTCAATTATGCTTTCCCGCCAACTATGCATAACGCTCAGCTCCGCATTTCCGCCAGACCTGCATTCCCCCCATCTCTGAATGTCCCCCTCCCAGCCCTGCATGTCCCTCAGCTCTGGATTGCCCCAGTGATCTGGACTTCCCTCAGCTGTGTATTACCCCCAGCTTCTCATTTCTCTCAGCTGTGCCTTTCCCTGAGCTCTGGATTTCCATCAGCTCTGCATTTCCCCAAGCCCTGCATTCCCCCCAGCCCTGCATTCCCCCATCTCTGCATGGCCCCCACCCAGCTCTGCTCCTCCCTCCGCTCTGGATTGCCCCTTTGCTCTGGATTTACCTCTGCTATGCATTCCCCCCACCTCGGCTCTGGATTCCCCTCTGCTCTGGATATCCATCAACTCAGGATTTCCCCTAGCCCTGCATTCCCCCCAACTGTACATTCCCCCCTGCTCTGCATTTCCCTCAGCCCTGCACACCCGTCAGCTCTCCATGTCCACCTCCGAGCCCTGCATGTTCCTCACCTCTGGATTTCCGCTGATTTGCATTTTCCCCAGCTCTGCATTTCCCTCAACTCTGCATAACCCTCAGCTCAGCATAACCGTCAGCTCAGCATTTCACTCAGCTCTGGATACCCCTCAGCTCTGGATTTTCCTTCGCTGCGCATCCCTAGCTCTGCTTTTCCCCCAGGTGTGCTTTTCCCTCCGCTCTGCATAACCCTAACTCTGCATTTGATTTCAGCCCTGCAGCTCTCATCCACGGCCCTCTGTCCCCCTTTCCACCCCGTTATCCCCTTCTGTCATAACCCCAGGCGTGCACCGTGGGCCGTAGGGTGCTGACCAAGACGCACAAGAGGATGGTGGTGGGGGATAGCACGGATCCAATGTGGAGGAGCTACGTCGCGGTCCTGGGGAAACCTGCGATGGACCAAATGGCGTCCCACCTCAAGCTGGCGGGCGTGAAGACCCAGGTCCTTCAGGTACGAAGTTGCCTTGAGCAGCCCAGTCAAACTATCCCCTGTGAATGTCCTTGAATGATTCTGATGGCAACTTGTGCCTTTGTAAACCATCAGCTGCCCAATACCCATGCCCTCAGAAGCTCATTACTGTAAAAGTCCACCATTGGCCCATGTCCCTTCCCATGCGGTGTTCCAGGTGCACACCGCACTTGCCATCCCTCCACACGACAGGATGGAATGGACAGCCAAGGGCCAATTTGTCAAAGCGAGCCCGTCACAGCGGAACTTCTCTGACGTGGCCATAAACCCTGCGGGGAAGGGGGCCAACTGGTACGGCCGCTGTCTGGTTCTGTTCCACTACGACAAAGACGGGGCAACGAAGCAGGCTGCCTACATTGAGTACTACACAGAGGACAGGCAGGTGTGCCACGTCACTGGATGCCGACGGCTCCTGCCAACGAGGGGTGTCGACAACTATGCGATCATGGATGCAGATTGCATCCTGAGCCTTGTTCATGTTGTCCCGTGCTGCAAGGATCCTGATGTGCGCTTGCTGAACAGATTTGTGTGGTGAATTGCCAAGTGGAATAGTTCTAGTTGCTTGCAGCAAGCAACTTTAGGGCGACCTCAGGGTAAGATGCGAGAAGGGCAAAGTGCGGAGGGCGGAGGGCAGAGGGCAGAGGCTGGCGGGCAGCGGGCAGAGGGCGGAGGAAGACCTCATAAGGGTACACGGGATGAACCGGGTCGATGGGGAAGTTAACTTGGTCATAGCGGAATGTCGTCACCACCACTGCTTTCTCGGCGCTGCCGTCCCTGCACTCTGCACGGCCATGGGGTGGATATGGGGAGATGGGGGAATGGTGATAGGGGAACATCAGAGTATGGGGTTCGGCGATGTACAAGGAAGAGCTTAAGTGGGAAGAGGGCACAGAAAAGAAGGAAGAGGGAAAGTGCGGAAGAGAAGGCATGGGCAATGGGGAAGGGGGAAGAGGGAAAGGGGAGAGGGTTGCAGGGAGAGGGGCGAGGGAGTGCTGGAGGCTATTGGCTTGACGCTTCTGCCGGCCACCTGCGGGCAAAGTTAATGGTTGTGATGGTGCTGCCACAACCGCCGCAGCACCCGAGGCGAGAACCCGATGGAAGGGACGAGAGGACCCCGAGGCGTTGGCCACTGTGGCTGTCCCCACATGTGGTTGCAAGGTGCTCAGTCCCCCCACACGCTGCCGCTGCCACTGCCACTATCAGCGCCATCTGCAGCCGCAGCAGCAGCCACAGCAGCAGCAATGGCAGCAGCAGAAGGGGCGGCACAAGCAACAGCAGCAGAAGGGGCAGCAGCAGCAGCGCTATGGAGGTCCATGCGGTCACTAGAGCCATGCTGCTCGCCTCTCTCCCCTCTCTCCCCTTCAGCCGCTCTCAGCATCCGTCTCATCCATTGCTGCTTCACCCAAACCCTCCTTTCTGCCCCCACCGCTTCTTCCCTAACAATCCCTCCCTTGGGTCCCTGCTGCGCACCAGTTCCCCCCCTCCGACGTCTAGTAACGTCCCCGACCTGGTGCTGCCCCCCACAAAGTTGCCACCCCCACCGTTCCAGCCGGCATCAGCACCAGCGCTAGACCGAGCCAAGGCGCGGTGGAAAGCGCGCGGCGAGAGAGAGCCCGCGCCATGGTCAAGGGGGAGAAGGAGCTCACGGAAAGGGGCGGCTGAGATGGCACAAGTCTGCGTAGGGCAGTGGGCAGCAAGGCGGCACAAAATGAGTGGCGGGATTCGCGGAGCGGGTGAGAGTGGACGATGCTGCCGCTGCGACTCACATCCCCGGTAGGTGCTGCGTTGCTCCCTATGAGACGCGGCCAGGGGGTGAATGCATCCGAAAAAACCCGGGCCTCAAACTAGCTTTCGGGGGGCCCCACATATCTTTGCTGGGAGTATGTGGGCAACATACTTTTCGACGCGACGCATACAGGGCAGCCGCGCGCAAAATTTCCAAACAAACTGCAGCAAATGGAAGTGGTTCGGGAGGACGTTCGGCAGTAAAGGTGATTGGCTTTAGCAGCTGGGACCGCGCCTCTGATTCTGGCGTGCAATTTCCCGCGAAACAATTCCTCCAATGAAATTTCGACGCGTGTTTTGTACTGTTAGTTCTTTACATGCACGCGCGATTCAATCTGCAGAAAACGAGATAAATTATAATGGAGTTTCGGGTTTCGGACTGATTCGGTTTTTGTAATTTTATCGAAAGCTCCTACTTTTAATAGGTGCGTAAACTGTTCATTAAAACGGGCCAGCCATAATACCACATAGCTAAGCAGTGTTTTTCCAGTTATTTTTAATAGCACAAAATCTAAACGTGCATTAAATCATCTGAAAGACAGATTGCACGAAGCACTCATGAATCCTAATTATTTATTTAAGGTAATAATTCTCTACCTGCAAGCACGTGGCACTGCAGACAACCCATCTGCACTTATAAATACTACATGGCTCTCCGAAAATGCCCAAGCCTTCACATTCTCGTCCCACCATGGCCCATCGCCATCCGTGCCGGCGGCAATTGCTTCAAGCGCCCAGTTACGGAGGTTATAGTACACCTCCACTTGGTTGTGATTAACGCAAGAACTTTTGGACTTATCTTGGTTTTCATGGAGCACTCGATGCTCAACCTGCATAGTTCCAACAGCACACATGTTAAATATGAAGGTGCATGCGGTCTTTTATCTGAAAAGACACTGTTTTGTTCTCACCCCATGGAGCCAAAATGCGAGAAGCTTCAGTGGTAAAATGATGGTAGGCGATGTCGGACGAGAAAAAGAGTCTATGATCCACGACGAATAGAGCCGTTCCGAATGGAATGTTGCGTGCGCGCATGTGCCACAAAGACATGGTGAACGTGCGGCGCCTGAGACGGGTGATCATCCAACACGTGTGGGAA